AGAACTAGACTTGGATTCTTTCCCTCTTGAAAGCTCTCCCTATCCTCCCCCTCCGCTTAGCTCAGGGGAACCCAAGCCCGGCCTGGGGTTGACAGGCCATCCCCCGCAGGGCCAAGAGCGTGTGCGCAAGACATCCCTAGACCTGCGACGGGAGATCATCGAAGTGGGCGGGATCCAGAACCTCATCGAGCTGCGGAAGAAACGGAAGCAGAAGAAGCGGGCGGCCCTGGCCGCCCCCGAGCAGCCCCCAGAGCCCGAGGAGATCGTAAGCGTCCTGGGAGGACCCGTGTGTGGGCAGGAGAGCGCGGGCGGGCCTGGATCACTGCCGGGCGGCCCCCCATGACGGCATGCACGCCCTCCAGACTGGCCCCGTGGAGGAGCAGACGTTTCTGACCGCTGCCGTGGAAGGGAAAATGAAGGTGATTGAGAAGTTCCTGGCCGATGGGGGTTCCCCTGACACCTGCGATCAGGTGAGTTCTCACTAACCTCTTCACCTGTGCCTGCCTCCCTTTCAGAGTTGCCCCCACCCAGCCCTCTGGTGAGCATGTTTGAGAACAGGTGCTGGGTGTCCTTGGGGAGGGGAGTCCTCAGAAGATGCGGGCTGCCCCCTTCCCCACACAGGAGCTTACCTAAATCCTTAGACCCTTTCCAACGGGAGCCCCATCCGGAGTACCAGGTGCCACGTGGTTCCTTAGGGAAGAAGGAGGAATGGAATAAAAAAAAAAAAAAAGAGTCCAAGACCAGGAGTTTGGGGCCTGAGTCCCATCTCTGCCACTCCTTAGTTATGTGACCTGTAGTTGGGCCATCACCTCTCCATGCCTCAGTTTCCTCCTCTGTAAAACACCCTGCTTCCCACAGAGCATATTCTGGGGATCAAATGGAATAATAGTGCTTCGATAAGTATTTATTGAATGAATGAAAAAACTATAAAATAATGCTAGGATATGATATGTTTGTGTCATATCGCACGTCACACTTCCTTTAATTATTTCATTTTATTGACAATGCCATGTTCGCCATTTTACGTGTACAATTCAGCATTGATTACATTTATAATGCTGTGCGACCATCAGCACTAGTTTTAAAATGTTTCCACCACCATACTTTTTTGTGGTTTCCTCGGAACGGCCTCTTTCTCCTGAACCCATATCCTGGGGTTAAGCAAATGAATGGGCCTGCATTCTTGTAGGCTTAGATGAGACTACATGTCCTTTCTGTTCTTCAGACTCCAGAGTCTGAATTCTCTTGTTCTATCTATCTGAGCACTGTGTAGGTACCGGGAGTACCACAAAGACAAGGGTTGAGACTAGGTGGGAGACTGATGTTTCGAGAGATCAAAGCAGGAAGCCAACTGCCCTGAGAAGAGAGGAGGTTCATTCTTTCCTTGAATCAGTACTCAAGGTGCACCTGCCCATCCTGGCCCTGGGCTAGGCACTCAGGGAACACAGAGTTAAGTAAGACTTAGCCAGCTCTCCAACACTCTCTCACGCTGGAGGGTTGTCTGGGCCCCAGGGACAGCTCTGGCCTAGAGGTTTCTTAAAGACAATAGCATTTGAGCGGCATCTTGAAGGAATAGCAAGAATTCATCAAGGGAGTGAACGCAACATGGGCATTCTGGCCCGGGGAACAGCCTGTGTGAAGGCCTGGCTTGGTGTGCTTGGGGCAGGGAGAAGGTGGGAGTCTCCGGGGGATAGGAGGGATCCAAGCTGGTCTGGATAGAGCATGAAAAGCTAGCACATAGAAGATATGGGCACCTAGCACAGAGATCAGAATCAAGTGGGGATGAGGCCTCCACCTCAGCTTGTGTGGGGAATGGGCTTCGGCCTGGGGCCCGAGGTCAGGCCCTGACACTCTATATGGGGACAGTTCCGCAGGACAGCACTGCACCGAGCTTCCCTGGAGGGCCACATGGAGATCCTGGAGAAGCTTCTGGAGAGTGGGGCCACTGTGGACTTTCAGGATCGGGTGAGCAAGAGGGCAGGTATTGGGTGGGAGGCAGGAGGTGGACATAGACTCCCTCTCTGTGTGCCAGCCTGGGACACAGACAGGCTACCTCAGGGGCCAGGCCCCACCTTTAGTGGTTTGTATGACCTTGGGCAGGCCCCATCTCCTCCTCTGTAAATCTGGCTTGGACCAGATGGGCCCCAAGGGTCCTTATGTTCTGCTTGATCTATTGCCCAGGCACTAAAGTGCCCCACCCCTTCCCTGTACCCTTCTCCTGGATATCTCCCTGCCCTTTTGGTTGGGGTCCTTTCCCCCGGGGCACCTTCCTCCCTGAAGCTCTGCAATCAGGTCCCATCCTTCCCTTTTAGCTGGATTGCACAGCCATGCATTGGGCCTGCCGTGGGGGCCACTTGGAGGTGGTGAAACTACTGCAAAGCCGAGGAGCAGACACCAATATAAGGGATAAGGTGAGGCAGAAATGCTCACAGATATTGGGGTGACTGTGGGTGGGGAGTGAGAGGCAGAGGGCAGAAAAGCTGGGGAAGGCAGAAAGGTCGTGAACAAGTCTGGTTTCTGGAGGCTGCAGAACCCAGGGAAGGATCATTTCCATCAACTGCAGGCCCTTGGAAACCACCATCTGGGGATGGGAGCGGGAAGAGCAGGGGAGAGCGAAGGAGAAGAGATTCACTGTCTTGGGGACTTTGGGACCACCCAAATGATGCAGAATTTGTTCTCCACGCAATCCATCATCCTTCTATCTGTCCTCTGTCTATTTATCCATCCATTTATTTATTTATTCACCCACCATCTTTTATGTATTTATTCCTTTGTATGTGACCTTGAGTGAGTGACAGCCTCTGAGCCGCTGTTGCTCATCTGTAAAATGTCTTGCAGAGTTCTTGTGTAGATTAGATGGGAAAATGTATGTGAATTAATTATTCAACATAAGGCCAATGTTTTATAAGCTTTTGCCATGCCCATCACAGTCATGTCTCTATAAATGACACCTATTATAATTATTAAAAGAAGGGCAAAGGAGTGAGCAGTTGCTCATAGCTGGGTGAACGGGGAATCATGGAAGGCTTCCCAGGGGAGGTAGCAGGTAATGCTTCAGAGCTAGACCATTGGATAGGATGGTGAGAATTGTAGTATTACTGCCTCTCCAGGACTCAGGCCTTGGCACTAGGACTTGAGGGGGATAAGGCTGGAGTTAAGACAGCCCCACTCCCAAAGGTACACAATCCAGGCCCCTTCAGCCAGCAGTTTCTACTTCCTCCCTACTCAGCTGCTGAGCACCCCCCTGCATGTGGCGGTTCGAACAGGGCACGTGGAGATCGTGGAGTACTTTCTGTCCCTGGGCCTGGACATCAATGCCAAAGACAGAGTGAGTGTCTGGGTTCTCTCCTGCCCAGCCCCACCATAGGGGTGCAGGCAGCCTGGGGGCTCCCATGTGCCCATGTGGGCTATGCTGAATGTCACACTGGCTCTAGGAAGGGGACAGTGCCCTGCATGATGCTGTGAGGCTCAACCGCTACAAAATCATCAAACTGCTGCTCCTGCATGGGGCTGACATGATGACCAAGAACGTGGTAAGTTTATTCCTTTCCTGATTCAGTAATCAGTGTGCACTGCACACTCAGGCCCTATGCTGGGCTCTCAGAGGAAACGGAGAACGGAGCAAGGCTCAGCCTGCCTGCCCTTGGAGCACTTTTACAGTGGAGAGTCTCTCCGAGACCCGCGGTTTTCAGGTCCACTCAGCTTCCCACGTCTCTCTCTGCTTCCCACGTCTCTCTCTGCCGTCTACGTCCAGAGGGCGAGTGCAGAGAAACATCCTGGAGGGGCAGTTAGGGAACTTCCCAAAGGCCCTCAAATAGACTACAGAGGGTGCTGATGTCCAGCCCCAAGGAGGCCAAAATCATGGAGAGCGAGCAGGAATCTAAGCACTTGGTTGGCATGACCATTCCTAGCATACCATGTGCGTTCCTGGTGGTCCCTGAGTTCTCATAGGATGCCATGTACACTATTCCAAGCTCTTCTTTGGGATCCAGAGCAATCGCAAAATGGAGGAGAATGGAGGTCCCCCTAAATCAAGAATGGCTAAAGAAATGTGGGAAAGTCAGGAAGATATGGGAGGGTGTGAATGAGGACTTCTTGACCTTGGCAGTATTGACGTATTTGGGGCCGGGCTGTCCTGTGCACTGTATGATGTTTAAGCAGCATACCTGACCTCTATTCAAGATGTCAGTAGTACCCACCCGGCACCCACCCCTGCCTCCACCCCTGTTGTGATAACCAGGAGGTCTCCAGACAGTGCCGATTGCTCCCTGTTGGGAACCACTGATGTAGATGAGGGCCCCTCCTGCTACAGACTTCTCAACAGTGACCAGATGTCCTCTTGGTCCCCCCAGGCAGGAAAGACTCCCACGGACCTGGTGACACTGTGGCAAGCTGACACCCGCAATGCTCTGGAGCACCCCGAGCTGGGGTCAGAGCAGAATGGGCTGGAGGGGGCTGCTGAGAGTGGGCGGGAGACCCCCCAGCCTATGCCAGCCCAGTAAACCCCTGAATGGCCCCCAGAGCTGAGCCATTCCTCTGTGGAAGACCCAGGAGTACCCATAAAGCTATTGCAATAAAAAAAGTCATTTTGCTACGTGTGGTGTTTGTTTCTGTTTGGGTGTGAAATATTTAGGAATGCAGGAATGAGCAGGGGAAGCAGGGACTTAGAGCCCTTTGGCCCCCTGAGCCAGCCCTGCAGCATTTCCTCTTCTCCTTGCTTTCACCGTCAACCCTCTTCCCAAATCCCAGCATGGATCTCACCATGCACTCGGCCTAGACTACCCCTTCGTGTGCCAGCTGTCCTGTGGGCTGTGTGTGGCCTGCACAGGCCTGTCATGTCATGTGGCAGTTTGACAGGAGGAGCCTGGCTGGGAAGTGGGGCGGCCAAGGTGCTGTGAATCAGCCAGACCTGCCCCGCCTCCCCCAGGACTCAGCCAATCAGCTCCTCCAACCAACCAGGGAACTGCCAAGCGGAAGCAGAGGCTCGGAGCAAAGCTGGAAATTGTGGGAGGAGGGCTCGGGCCCCTCTAGAGACACCCTTTAGTGTTGGGACTCCAGGAGCCAGTCTTCCTTCTGGCAGAGGGACATTGGGTTGTGGCATTTCTCCAGCTGCTCCCCAGCGAGAAGAGGACCCTCCTGGGACCTATAGGCCTAGCCTTTGACCCCGGGGACACCTAGCCCAGCCTGCCCCAGAGCTGACAAGTCAGAGGCAGCAAATTTTTAACTAGACACATTGATCATTAATAGGGGTAGGAAGGGATCCAAACTCAGCCTCCCTTAGGGACAGAGACTAGCTGGGCCTCAGGTCTCCTGTGGAGATGCTAGGCCCCCGAATCTGGTCCTCTGTGAGGCAGGGGCTGAGCAGGGCCTTGTCTAGGAATGTGGGGGGCCAAGCCTCAGGGGAGGGGAGGAAGGTGGACATCGCAGGCATCTACCCCCCAGTGACCACCCCCTTCACTGCCACCTCAGAAGTGGACTACGGGAAACTGGAGGAGAATCTGCATAAACTGGGCACCTTCCCCTTCAGAGGTAAGTGGGCTGGGAGCTGATGCGGGTTACCCTGGTCTCTCCAGCCAGAGGAAGGTACGCGGGCTCTGCCAAGCTGCTCAGGAGCAGTGGAGTGCCCCAGGGTCACTTTATTATGGAGAGGAACAGACGGAACTGGTCTGGAGTCAGGAGGCAGGTAGGAAGCTCCCTGCTGGCTGGAGACCTTGACTGAATCTCCTGCCTCAGTTCCCCCAGTTGTAAACTGCTAAAGCACCAGCTAAGCTCTCAGCATTATTATGGGGATCAAGGAAATTAATAGGCGTGAAAGTCCTCGTCAGCCAGGCACTCTGTGCGGTGTGAGGGCAGCCAGGTGTCAAGTGGCAGCCCAACCAGCAGGCTCACGCGCACACACACACACACACACACACACACACACACAATGCCTTGTTTGCATTCTTTCTTCCAGGCAAAGCCTCCCTTGGCCAAATTAATTCCAGTTCTGGATTCTCACACTCATTTCCCCTATACGCATGGGTCTCCCCTCTCTGAGGCCAGGGACCAGATCGTATTGGTGACACTGAACATACTACACAGCCACAAGCACAATAAATAAAGGTAGAAGAAGTCGAAGTCCTCCCGTCATGCCCTGCCCACCCTCATCCTTTACTCAGACAGTTCCCGGAGGCAGTACTCTCAATAGCCCCATTTCACCCATGGGAACACGGGGCTCAGAACGACACGGTCACTTGCACAAGGTCACTTACTAGTACATGGCTGAGCTGGGATTTCACTCCACTGCACGAGTGCTGAGTTGCTAGACAAGATGATGTCTAGAGTCTGATCAGCACCGGCTTTGGGAATGCAGTGGCTCCGACTGAGGCAGTGAGTGAGCAGGTAAGAAGGACTCCAGATTCAAAGCACAGCTCTGCCGCTGACTCAGCTGTGAGCTAGTCTCTCTATCCCTCAGTCCCCCATCTGGCACATGGGGGTAGTAATGCCCATCTCATAGGGTGGTTGGGAGAAAAATCTGAGAGAATGCAAGTGAAAGTGTGACGTAGTGTAGAGTGATATGTTGGAAGGTACTGATTGCAAGGATAACAATGATTAGAATGACTATCAGTACTGTGGGCAAAGCTGCTCTGGGACAGCACCTGCTGGCCTGAGACCCCATTCACATCTCAGTGCCGAGGTGTTAGGATCCTTCTCGGTGGACAATGGAGGCCCTGTGGACACCCACATCAAGCTGCGACAAAAACTCTAAGTAAATTTCTGCTCGGGCTCAGCTCACTGGGGCCTGAAGGTCTGAGCTGAGGCCTGGTTCTCTTGGGGCAAAGTGAGAAGCTCCTTAGTACTCTAAGGGAAGGTCCTGCTTCACCTTCCAGGCTTAAGGACACGTTAGTGCAGGGGGTGGGAAGGATGGACTTTGCCTCTGATGTCTGCCACCCAGAGCATCCGCAGAGACTCCCAGGTCCTCTGAAGCCCCCCCCCCACTCCTGCAGAGGGCGTGGCAGTGCCCAGGGCACGGGCTGCTGGGGACGTGGCAGGCCGCTAGTCCATCTCCCATCCAACCCACCCAGGCACCTGCTCCCACCTTCTCTCTCTCTTACCCCAACACAAGGCGGGGAGAGGGGCAGTGGGCTATGTAGAGAAGAGCCCAGCATTTGGAGTTAGAGGACTATGGAAGAATCCTGGTTCTACCAGTTACAGTGAGTGACTTTGGAGAAATCCCTGAACCTCCCTAATCAAGTTTCCTCATTTTAGAATAGGAATTGAGCCACAGGGTTCAATGCATTTCTCCCAAGGAGCTCAAACGTGAGGCCCTGGCACAGAGAACATAGAAACATAGGGTCCTGCCACCAGTCCTAGGACACAGCCCAGGAAGGGAGCAATGAGCCACTTTAGCTGGTGCTCTTTGTATCTCAGCACTCGGGGGGGGGGGGGGGGGGAGAACCATCGCACTTCACATTGCCAGGGCCTCCTGCAACAGGCGGAAGGTCCTCCAAAGAGGGGAACCTGCCCTTGATGAATTGGTGAATAGCTAGAGATTGTTCTGGAACGCATTGCCTGAAACTCTAGCTCTTTTTTTAAAAACAATTTTTTATTTTCAATTACAATTGATATGCAAATATATTAGTTGCAGATATACAACCCAGTGATTAAACACTTATATAACTTACAAAGTGATCACCCCGATAAATCTAGTAGCCATCTGAGATCATACATAATTACTACAATATTATTGACTAATGTAGCTTTTTATTTTTTTATTGTTAATTTTTACTGATTATTTGAATAAAGAGTATTCTTTTTAAGTAAAATCTTTTTAAGTAAAAGTTATAACTAGAGACTGGAGGGTGGAGTTGTTGCTGAGTGGTCCTGAACTCACTCCCACAAACAACCTCAGAGATGAACTTTGAATTGTTGTTTCCAAATGAGGTCATTGGACGACCACAGAGCTACTCCAGCCAGATTGGGGAGCTGATGTTCCCACAGAACTTTAAGCTTGTCTTATTCCCTTAGTATGTGGACTAGACTGTGGTGTCTTATGATACGATAGAATATTTTTATGTATATTAGAGCCTTACTGTGTTAAAGAAAATGTTTTGTTTAAAATATCACAATTTTTACAACCCTATTTTGGCATTTCTTAATTTTTAAAAATGTGTTAGATGCCTCTAGGTGGAAAACTAGTGTGGCCCAGGCCTGTTTCCTCCCCGCGCGGCCCTGGGTGTGGCCTGGGATGGCAGACCAGGCTGGCCCACCCGCTCACAACCTACACTGCACCCACTTGCGGGGGTGAGGTGGGGAGTGGTGCTAAATTCTGGGTTTGCAGATGCATCACTAAGGCCATAGGTAGCAGCACAGTCCTGGAGTGGCCCCAGGGATCAGGGACCCAGTGGTGTCTCTTGTTGTATCTGCTCTGCCTTCTACCCCCTGCTGGTCCCCCCCTCCCCCCCATTTGTGACCTCATGTTATTCCAGAATGAGCTTCTTGCTGGGGCCCTTTTCCTTCTGGACCCTGCTCCATGATGTGGGGATAGAATGCGCTGAGCTGGCAGCAGGTATAGGTCCTGGATGGAGGGAGATGCCGCCTCAGGTGACCAGGAATGAATGCCAGCCCAGCCAAGGGTGTCCTTCAGCCATGGGCAGCTTGATCAAGCACCTGTGCCAACTGGGGGCCAATGGATGGCGAGAGAGAGAAACCAAAGACTGAAAGATAAGAAGGACTGAGTTGCAGAATAGGTCGCCAGCAGATGACAGAAGGGACTCAGAGTTGGGGAAGCTGTCATTCCACTGACCTTGGGGATAGCTGTCAGAGTGGGAGACAGAACCTGGGCCTCAGGCAATGCCTCCCAGGCTAGACATAAGGGTTGCCGTGGTCTCTCCCTACCCCGCCCCTCAACCAATGAACCTCATAATGGGGTTCATTGCTGAGGTGGGAGGGGCACCCTAGGAAGGGTGCAGCAGGGGGCCTGCCTGCCAGACACCCACAGGGAGCCCACCCTTTCAAGCATGAAACATACCATCCGGGCTCCCCCACTCCCAGTGTGCTCATAGCTCTGCCTGCCTGGCGTAGGGTCCTGGAGAACTTCTTGGAGCTCATCCAGCAGCCATCATGCAAGGTGGTGCTGGGGACTGTCCTCTTACTTGGAGGTGGAGGCTTCATGTTGTGGCTTCAGAGGAGGAGGAGAAGGAAGATAGCCTCCGAGTCTCCACCAGACGAACGTGAGCCACAGGAAAAACACAAAGCACAGAATGAGAGCTGGATCAAATCTCACTTTAGCCGCCTTTCCGAAGAGAAGCTGGCCACCAGCAGCACCACCACCTCTGCCAGCAGCAGCACTGCCCCCTCCCAGCCCGACAGCAGCGGCGCTGGGGCCGGATCCGTGATGCGCGTGGAGACCTCCACCTCGAGGGAGCCCTTCACCAGCAAGCAGAAGACGCCTGGGTTCTCGGTGGTCAAAGAGATCCACAAGGAGTCCTCGTCCACAGATGAGGCTACGTGGGCTGCCGTGGCTGCTAGTACTAAGGAGATTGACACCAAGGGACGGCAACTGGCTAACTCCATGTTGCAGCGTGCCATGGCTTACAAGAACTCAGGCCACTTGGAGTCCAAGGACATCAACCAGGAGGAGCTGAAGGCCCTCCAGGAGGTGGAGATAAAGCTGAAAAGCAATTTCCTCACCCAGCGGGAAACCACTGTAGCTGGTGTGAACCATACACACACCTTTCATGGCCATAGTCACCATGGCCACCAGGATCATCCAAGCCAGCTGAGCCACCAGAGCCACAGCCTGCCCAGCCGCAGCCACCAGACCTATCACCCCTTCGAAGCCACCTAACCATGGATGGAGATGCCCCTTCCCTCAACAGGGCTGGCACACAATCACAGGCCTGTTTTCTCTCCTATGAGACAACCTGTGTGGCCCAGAGTAAGATGCTATTGCCCCGATCCATTCTTCCTCAGGCCCCTGCCGGGGTCCTGGGCCCCTTCAACTTCGCGAGTGGAGTCTGCTACAGAGGACGGCCCCTGATGGAGAGAGAGCTGGGAGGGAGCAAGGCAGCTGAAACAAACTCCCAGGCCCCTGTTGACCCACCAAGAGAAGACAGGAGAGCCCCGGGAGCAGCTGAGAGCCCCCCACTGATGCCACATGCCTGGAACTGAGCCAATAAAGCCTTGTGCACCCTCACTCTGAGTCTGGGGCCTCTTTGGTCAGCCTCAGGGCTGAGCAGGAAGGGAGGGAGAAAGGTTCCTTCTAAACTGGCTTCCCAGGGTCTCAGGCTCTGGGGATGGGATATCTCTAGGCAGCTTCACACCCACCCACCTGCTGTTGTCAGGGAAAGAGGAAGTAGCCAGGTATTGGGAGGAAGGAGGTGACACAGACTTCTAGAAGTGAGAGAGTAAGCAGGGTGGGCTGTAGGCCCCTGACCCCCGGGTGCCGCCTCAGCTGGTCTATGGCCTCTGCGGTCACGTGGCGGCCCACACTGCAGCCCTCTCTGCCCACCTGCTCCCTGGGGCCCACTGGGATCCGAGCAGTGCCCCTCTCCCCCACCTTCAGAGCTATCGTGCTGTATATTCTCTGCTTTATATTAGCATCGCCACTGCCGGGGCTGGGCGTGCTGCTGCTGCTGGTACTACTACTACCAGCAGCTCCCTCTTCTTGAGTTTTGTTTTGTGTGTGTGTTTTTTTTGTATGGCGTGGTCTGTGTTGACAGCACAGACTCATGAGGAAGGTATTGCATCCTCTCCATTTTGCAGACGAGGCACATGAGGCTGAGAGGTATAATTCACCTGGCATGACTTAGACTGTAAGTGATGTCCCTGGGGTTACAACCCTGCGTTGGCGGACTCTGAAGCCCAAACCCAGACCCCTGGCCCTGTTCTGACACCAGTCCCAGGCCCACCGTCCCCAGAGGAGTCCGCCTCCCTCATGCTTATCCCTGTCCTCTCTCCACATGTCCTGACTGTCTGTGCTCTCGGCAAGCCTGGCGCTCTCCGGCTTCCTCTTCCTGCTGCCCAAGGCAGGCAGCTGTCCCCCCGGGAGCTGGAGTGGAGTCAGCTGCACGCGCTGGCTAACCGCCAGTGATCGCTACATAGAAACGTCATCATTTTAGTCTCCTGTGGGATCACCAGTGGTTCTCAACCTGTGGGCCTCAAACTCCAGGGAGAAGGTGCCCAGAATCATTGCAAAGAATGGATAGACCTATAAACATCCTAAATATTGTCTTAGTTTTATGGTACAGAGTTGGGAGTCTTTAAATAGATATATATATTTTTTTTATCCTCACCTGAGGACATTTTTGCATTTATCTCCAGATAGAGCAGAAGAGAAGGAGGGAAGAGAGAGAGAGAAACATCGACGTGAGAGAGACACATCGAGTGGTTGCCACCCACACGACCTCAACTGGGGCCAGGGACAAACTGCAACTGAGGTATGTGCCCTTAGCGGGAACTGAATCCGGGACTCTCTGGTCCACGGGCCGACGCTCCAAACACTGAGCCAAACCGGCCAGGGCGGGAGTCTTTGAATATTTTTGATAATACTAGTAAGTGACTTTATATATATGCTGATATATATTTGTATATTTAAAATACTTTAGCCCTGGCCAGTTTGGCTCAGCGGTTAGAGCGTCGGCCTGCGGTCCGGAGAGACCTGGGTTCGGTTCCCGCTAAGGGCATGTACCTCGGTTGTAGTTTGTCCCTGGCCCTGGTTGGTCGTGCGGGTGGCAGCCACTCGATGTGTCCCTTCACATCAATGCTTCTCTCTCTCTCTTCCTCTCACTCCCTCCTGCTCTATCTGAACAAAAAATGGAAAAATGTCCTCAGGTGAGGATTAAAAAAATAAAATAAAATTCTTTATAATAAAATCTTACTTGAAAAAATGGGGTCAATCACACTAGAAAGTGTTGGAGGCTGATTAATTAGACAAGAGTGGGGAGGGTTGGCTTCTAAAAGGGATTGTAAAAATGCATAAAATGTATGCATTTATCTGGAAGACCTAAATTCCTTATTAAAAGCTTATTATATAAGAGCTAAGATTAGCTAATTAGGACTTCAGAATCTTCACTTCCAAAAAGTTTCAGACTGGCAAAATTCAAATAAAATGTGGTCAGTGTTGTCCCAAGGTTAATTCTCTGTTCTGATCACTGTACTAGTTAGGTAAGATGTCATCATCGATGGGGGCTGAGTGAGCCATGTATGGAAATCTCCTGTACTATTTTGGCAACTTTTCTATAAATTTTAACGTATTTCAGCCCTGGCCAGTGTGGTACAGTTGGTTGGGTGTCGTCTGTGCACCATTGATTCTCGGTCAGCATGTGTGCCCGGGTCCAGCTTGATGTTTTGTTCTCCCGTCAATGTTTCTCCCTCTCGCCCTCTCCCTTCCTCTCTCTCTAAAAAAAGAAATCAATAAAAAATCTTAAAAAAAAAAAGTAGTTCAAAATTAAAAGTCAAAAAATTTTCAGAGAACGTAGTTATGAGTACATGTTAAGTTTTTATTAACGTTGTGCTGTACAGACAATGGCTTCTAAGCAGCCAAGTCAAGTATGCACTCCTGGTAAGGATATTTTCGTAAGAAAAGAGAATGATCAAATCATTGTTAGGCTAGATACCAAGAGTAGTTAACAGACACTAGACTCTTGCCTGAGAGTCAGCTGGGGAGGGGGTGGCTGGTTTCCTAGATCAAGGTTCAATCCCATGAAAGCTCATCAGGAAACTGCTTAAGCATTTTGTCAGGAACGTTCATTTCTTCCCTGTGGGAAGTTGAGAATTGCATCACAAAAAAGTTCTGCCTCAGACCAAGTTTGGGACAGTTTCTTTTTCACACGGCATATCGCCAGCACACACCTCAATAGGCAGTGTGCTGAGGTGTCATGGACAACAAAATGAGTGGGGCACCATCCCTGACCTTGCCGATTCTAGGCAAAGTAGGACAAGCGTCGTGTGAGGAGAACAAAGTGCTGTGGGCAGCAAAGGGAGGAGGCCTGAGCTGCAACAGGGGCGATATTCCAGGCAGAAAGGAACAGCATGAGCAAAGGTGTAGAGGCAGGAAGGTGGCAGAGTGTGGGGGGGACCTTGACAGTCAGTGTGGCTGAAGGGCAATATTTAGAGATAAACAAAAGGTAGGAGGAAAAGCCAGAAAAGGGACTACAAAGCCTAGAGCCCAGGAGGACTAAGGAGACCATCCATTGCAATTTGCTCTTTTGAGAAATTTTGCCTAATCCCACAGGTGGGGTGGGGGAGATTGAAGGGTTCTGAGGACCTCTGTGAATTTTTGAGTAGACAATAGGCAAGGACAAGGAATAGGTAATCGAAGTTAAGAGGAGATATCCAGTGGGAAAATCCCAGGAAGACTTCTCAGAAGAGGTGGCAATGATGACGGGCCAAGGGGCATAACAGTAAGAGATAGCCTGTGATTCCTTTTGGCCACGATAAGGCACCAGGTTGCTTGTGCATCCCCAGCCCCAAACACCCACTCCCCTTCCCAGGCCACTCTGGCTCTCAGAACAGTCAGCATCACCATGGGGCAGGGGAGAGTTGCTTTCTAAATGAGCGTTTTTGTCTTATAGCCAGAGCAGGGAGCCTGAGAGGTCCAAGCATAGCGTCCCTTCCCACACCAGCATCCTCTTCCTCAAATCGAAAGCTGCCACCCTCCTGAGCTAAGGTTTGAGTGCTTTCTCCCGACTCTAATAAGTACAGTTAACACTGAGTGCCAGGTTCTATTTGAAGCACTTCACAAGTAGAATCTCATTTAAGCTTCACAACAACTCTTTGAAGAGGGTACTCATATTATCTCCATTTTTTTCTTTTCTTTTTTGTTAATCCTCACCTGAGGTTATTTTCCCATTGATTTTTTAGAGTATAAGGGAGAGAGGGAGAGAGAGAGAGAGGGAGAGAGAGAGAGAGATAGAGAGCGAGCTGAGAGACACATGGATTGGCTGCCTCCTACACCACCCCAACTGGGGCCCAGGATTGAACCTGCAACCCAGGTACGTGCCCCTGGTTGGAATTGAACCCACGACTCTTCAGTCTGCAGGCCAACGCTCTAACTACTGAGCCAAACTAGCCAGGGCCCCATTTTTTTATTTGCTAAAGCTGAGGTTTGGTTAAGTCGTTTGCCCAAGATCTCACAGCTGGCAAGGGGCCACAGTATGCGTTAAACCCGGGCTCCTCAGAGTTCGGAGCCTACACCTCTGCCCACTCTACTGCCCTGTTCCACCTCTCACTTTCCTCACCCCCATCTGGGGCCCGACCTTTCCCCTTCTGTAGCCTCCTCCCTACAGCAGCGGAGGCACGCCGGGCCTGAAACTGGACATCTAGCCAAGGAGGGGGCTCTTGGGGCAGCAGTCACAGATGTCAAAGGCCTTTCTTGTACATTTTCTTTGCACCTTAGGACAGCCCTGTGAGGCAGGATTGAAATGATTGTATTGTCCTCCCACAGGAAAGAAAATGGAAACTCAGAGGCATGAAGTGACTGGCTCAGTAGCTAGAGGTGACTTGGGTTCAGAGCTTCCCTGACTCTACCACACTCCCTCTCCCCAGCCTGGCCTTTCTTCCCCTTGGGAGTCAGGACCAGGTCAGATGATCTCTTAAATGACATAAGGGAGAGGCCACTAGGCATCTTGAGTACAGAGGCCTCCTTCACCCCCAGAGTGCGAGACCCAGCTGTCCTGCTGTGGAAGCCAGGCCCAGTGAGGCCCAGGGCCCCTGGAACTGACCCCCAGAATGAAGGGGGACCTGGGAATGATGGCTGTGGCTGAAGAAGTACTGGAGCAGGAACCCACTTGGCTGTCTTTGGGGCGGGGTGGCAGACGCAGCCTGGGAGGGAGATGTTCTTCCATTTGAATAGAGGGTGTAGCAAAAGCTTGATCTCTTAAGTCTTTGATCCCTAAATCAGAGGGTGCTGGTCCAACCATGGCTGGACTGGGGCCCTTCTCCAAGGTTGGCAGCTCTGCAAGTGGGGATGGCCCACTGGGAAAGCAGGGGGGCCTTAAGCAGCAAGAAGAAGGAGGCTCCTACCATTGGCTCCCAGCCTGACAGTCCAACAGAAGCCAAAGCTATTTGCCTCAAGATGTTCCCTGCAATGTTATCAAGGCAAAAACCTGAAAAGAAAAAAAAATGCTAAGTATCCGGCGAGCTATTCTGGCAGTCTACCGAGTGGAACCCAATGGCGCAGAGAACAGCATGGAAAGGTCTGTGGTGTAACACTGCCTCTACATCACACTGTGTCCCCTGAAGGATGACTCACGGGAATGCTCTCTCTCGGTGCGGTGCCAGGAAACTATGTGTTTCTCCAGGGCAGCTGCCTTGCTTTTATCTTGAGTTCCGCATATCTGTCAGCTGACCACGTTTCCCTTTCAGCTTCGACTGTCGGGAAGCCCCAAATCAAATGCACGGCCCATGGCTCCCAGCTGTTTGACGGGTTTTGAAACCAATCTCCATCCTGGCTTTAGTTTCTTTCCGTTCTCCCGAACACCTCTACTTATCAATAATCTCGTATTCTGTGCTGTATTTGTCAACTATCAAAGGAAAATGTTTTTGGAGTGGAATGGGGTAGAGAGGAGAAAGAAGAGGAAAGAGAAAGCAAAACGAAAAGGGAGGAGATGGTTTTACTAACGTTCCTTTCAGATTTAGCCGAAGAGCAGCCATTCTGCTGATCTCTCGTGGATATGAGCGGGTTGACACCTTTAACTGCTAATATTAGAAACCAATCCAATGATTGATAAAACCGGAAAATGAAAAATAAAAGAATGAGATGTCACTTTTCACCTCGAAAATTTGCAAAAATTCATGCTGACAATCCAGTGTTGGCGGGGATGAGCACTGACGGACTCTGTGCGATGGGTGTGAACGGGCCAGTTAGAGAGACGCAGGCACGTGTGGGTGGCCGTTACACACCTAATAAACTGTAGGGAAACTCTTAGACATGAGCACAGAAGACTTTACAGAAAGCATTTGTCTGAGCATTGCTAGCAAAAAAATAAGGAAACATTCTAAATGTCCTCAAAGGGAGAGTGAAAAGTAAATTGTGGGCCCTGGCTGGTAGCTCAGTTGGTTAGAATGTCGCCCTGATACGCAAAGGTTGTGGGTTCAGTCCTCGGTCAGGGCACATACAAGAAGCAACCAATGAGTACATAAATGGGTGTAACAACACATCGATGTTTCTCTCTCTCTAAAAATGAATGTAAAAAAGTAAATTGTGGTCTGAGCTCACAATAGAATATTATGTAATAATGAAAAGTGAGTGAATCAGAGCTACATGTCCTGCTACAGACAAAAGTCAAAACACAATGTTAGGCAAAAATGGCAAACTGTGGAAGATATATATAAGTTTGATTTCATTTCTATAAAGTTTAAAGTTGCAAAACCTGTATTGCATCTTATATCTTATGAGTCCAAATGTATGCCTTAAGGGTATGAAGACACGAATGGGAACAATAACTCCTGAGCCAGAACAGCAAGAGGAGGGTGACCAGGGGAGGGTTGCCATGGGACCTAGATACACACATGTGGATTATGTTATCTATTCTTTGGAGTATAGCTAAAACAATGACAATTACACCAGTTTGGCTCAGCTGTTAGAGAGTTGGCCCATGGACCAAAGAGACCTGGGTTCGATTCCAGCCAAGGGCATGTACCTCGGTTGTGGTACGTCCTCGGCCCCGGTTGGGGTAGTGCGAGTGGCAACCAGTCGATGTGTCTCTCTTACATCGATGTTTCTCTCTCCTCCCCTACCCCCACTCTGTCTGAAGAAAGATGTAAAAATATCCTCAGGTGAGGATTAAAAAAATTAAAAAAAAACAAAGACAATTGGTGTGAACACTTATTGCAATTGGGTAAAACATTCTGGCTGCATCAGGACAAAGATGGGAAGAAATGTGTGAAAAACTATGGTTTTCAGGAGGTAGGAACCTGAGTGAGTATAACAGTAATGTCCCTGTCATTCATAAGAGGACGGGAAGATGTCTACTGATGTGATGCGATCTCTCGGCAGGCTTTGTGGTCCAGGGCTCCAATGGCGAGTTCCCTTTCCTGACCAGCAGCGAGCGCTTGGAGGTGGTGAGCCGCGTGCGCCAGGCCATGCCCAAGGACAAGCTCCTGCTAGCTGGCTCTGGCTGCGAGTGTGAGGCCATAATGCCCTGGGCCCTGGGGTGACTGGGGCTGGGTGGCCAGGCTTCTTGCCCAGGGGTTCGGTTCAGTTTACTTGTTCTGTCTCTTCGGCCCCCCTTGCTCGCCCAGGGTCCCAGTCCAGCCCTTTTTCCTCCTGCTGCTCTTGCCCTCCATAGTCTATAGGAAAGACTCCCTCTTTCCTCCTACAGCTACTCAAGCCACAGTGGAGATGACGGTGAGCATGGCCCAGGTCGGGGCTGACGTCGCCATGGTGGTGACCCCTTGCTACTATCGTGCGCGCATGAGCAGCGCTGCCCTCATTCACCACTACACCAAGGTGGGTGGCAGGGGTGGGAATGGGTCTGAGGTGACTGAGGGGGAAACTCTGCCTGGGAAGAGGAGACTGAGAAGCTGGTACAGACTGGTTAGCCTGCCTACCATGTACCAGCTGTGTGACGTTGGGTGACTGTCCTAACCACGCTGTCACTGTTTCCTCCCTTCTCAAATGGGAGGAATAAAGGTATCTTCATAGTGTTGTTTTAAGGACTAAATTATATAAAAACATAAAGAACTTTGAACTGTGCTTGGCACATAGAAAGCACTCACTAATTATTACCCACTGTTACTGCTTACAAGCAGGGCATGGACCATTGTGACTTCTGGTCTAGGAGGTGGGCCTGTCCTGGGCGCTCTGGCCCGGACCTGTCGGGCCTGGGCAGCTGCCCTCTCCTCTCTTCTCTGTGTCCCTCAGGTCGCTGACCTCTCTCCAATTCCTGTGGTGCTGTACAACGTCCCAGCCAACACAGGGCTGGACCTGCCTGTGGACACGGTGGTCACGCTTTCCCAGCATCCGAATATCATTGGCATCAAGGACAGTGGCGGTGATGTGAGTGGCAGCAGCTCATGGCTGGGCACCATCCACTTCTCTTCTGCTACCAACTTCAGGGCAGCTCTGGGACCTGCTTCAGTTTGGGTTCTCTCTGTCGTGTGGGCTCTCCAGGATGGGGCTCTCATTTGCCCACACTGGCTAGCCCCCATCAGGCTAGCCCGAGGCTCTGGGCCCCACTCACACCAGGTTTGCTCTTGCAGGTGACCAGAATCGGGCTGATGATTCACAAGACCAGGAGGCAGGATTTCCAGGTGTTGGCTGGATCAGCTGGCTTCCTGCTGGCCAGCTACGCTGTGGGTAGGCCTTCTGCTGCTACACTGTGAAGGGTGACCCAGATACACCCGGGCAGCTGGGGTCTGCTGGAAGAGACCATGAGGGCCGGGCTGGGTCTTTGCCAGCTTGCTTGCTCTGAAACCTCAGAAGTCTAGCACACTGCTTGCTTGTCTGGACACTGGGTACTTGTGAGTGACCTTGTTGGGTGGAGGAGGCTGGCCGTGTACAAACTCTGGCCTATCACAGGGATGCCTACAATTTGTTCTAAGTCCCAAGCTCCCTGCTTTGGTGATAAATTTAGTTCCTCTAATCTCACAGGGGCCTTGGGGCCCTCCCCTACAGTCCAGAGTCGATTTTCCTCTCTCTCTAGTTCCAGGCTGAATGAATAGTCAGACCTGTAGGGCTGGGCAGGGATCTTCAGCTGCCTAATCAGATTCTGTCCCAGTCCAGGGTCATAGGGATGTCACCATGAGACCAACTGTTCTTGTCTGTTTGGGGGTCAAGGTCCTTAGGTCCAGGTTGGATTTGAGCCAGAGGGGGTGTTGGGGGAGGGGAGCATTTGCTCCTTCAGCTGACACAGATTTAAGTTGCTTTTCCAAAGCTGCAGGGCCCTATTCTCTCTGGTTTGTGCAGACTTTGGCTTACTCTCTAGGTCCTTGCACACCCCCTCTTCATATCACCGCCTCTAAAGTTCAGGGAAGAAGGGGGACTCAGTTATGCTTGTCCCTGAAATGGGGAGATGGAGAAAGCACAGCTCCAGGGGCGGGGGATCTGAGCTGGAATCGCAGCTCTGCTCTTACGCACTGAGTACTGGTGGGCAAGGCCCTCAGCCTGCCTGGGTTTGAGTTTCTACTCTGAAGAGCAGGGAGGTGTTGTGAGTTAGAGAGCACTGGCCTTTGTCTGCCATAGTGCTTGGCATGTCATAGGGACTCAATAAATGGCGGCTATATTAGCTCATGCCTAATTGCCTACTGTTTGCAGTTTCAAAGCCCCTCTGCTAGGGTCACTCCTCATTAGCCTCAGTATCACACTCACAGGCTGGCAGAAGTGTCAGGGCCCTCTGCCATCACAGCCAGCCCTTTTTCATGGCCCAGATGAGAACAAAGAGGACCAGAGGGTCTATGACTTGTCCAAGTTCATACAGCCGGTGGGAGGAAATGCCCGGTGTCCTGACTGTCCAGAATGCTTTCCACCCCCCACACCCCCCTTCCCTGTACCAGGCTGAATTCTGGGGTTGGAGGGCGTAACATTTCAAAAGAGCAAAGGCTTCCTATTCCCTGCACCCCCTTCGAGGACTGGTGAGCCAGGGCCAGTAGAGGAGCCTGGAGGTGTCAACTGGCAGGTGGGAGGGAGAGGAGGACAGGGAAGGAACTGAACTTGAGTTAGCCTTCGGTCTCTGCTCCCTGACCCTCAGTCTGTGGGGTCCTACTTCCAGTAAGCTGGCGGCTTTCCTCTCTGTGCTCTGCGGACTCACAGAGCAGGCCTTTGACGTGGCCAACCAGTGGCATAGAAAGCCACATCTGATCTCCCCAGAACAAAGAGGGGCAGGGGACCAGGGTTTGGAATTCTCTGTGAGAAGAGGCTCTGGCTGATGTTCTGCATCTTACGCTGGGGCAGGTGCTGTGGGCGGCGTGTGTGCCCTGGCCAATGTCCTGGGGGCTCAGGTGTGCCAACTGGAGCGACTCTGCCTCACAGGACAATGGGAAGATGCTCAGAAGCTACAACACCGCCTCATCGAGCCAAACACTGCGGTGAGCTCCCAGCCAATGGCATCAAAGGGTTGGGGGCTGGGGGATGGTTCTGTGTCCTCACTGGAGTGGGAGCCAGGGCTGGCATAGGGATCCCCACTCAGACTCTTCCTTTTCAGAAAGTCCTTTTAAAGAAAGAACATCCCAGTGTGGGAACTCCTGGGGCCTCCCCAGGAAATCTTGACTTCAAAGTTGAGCCCTAACTTAAGTATGCATTAGAATTCATTAGGGAACTAGCTAAAATTGTAATCCTTTAGGCCTGGGAATAGGCATTGAGACAAGCATCCTGAGTGATTGTGACACAGTCATCCTGGGACTTGACTTAGCGAAAGGGACCATGGGCCTTTATGCCAGCTTTGTAAGGGGCCAGATCCTAACGAACAGAATGACTGAGAGTAGTAAAGGAGAAGCTGGAACGCTGGAGGTATTTAGAGCCCAGATTTTCCAGGAGAGTTCTATCTTCAAATAATCTATTCTGCAGTCAGACTGTATACCCCAATTCTGTGTTGGGCAAGTCAAAAAGAGCCAAAATATGCCTGGTCGGTGTGGCTCCCATGGACTGAGAGGTGTCAGTTCAATTCCTGGTCAGGGCACAGGGCACAGGGCACAGGGTTGCAGACTTGATCCCCAGTAGGTGGTGTGCAGGAGGCAGCCGATCTATGTTTCTCTCTCTCATTGATGTTTCTATCTCTCCCTTCCTCTCTCTCTTTCTAAAAAAAAATAAAAACATCTTATTTTATCTTTACCCGAGAATATTTTTTCACTTATCTTCAGATAGAGTGGAATGGAGCGGGAGAGATAAAAGAGAGAAAGAGAGAGAACCCTGGCTGGTTTGGCTCAGTGATTAGAGCGTTGGCCTGGGGACCAGAGAGTCCCAGGTTCGTTTCCCACTAAGGGCATGTACCTCAGTTGCAGTTTGTCCCCAGCCCCAGTTGGGGTTGTGTGGGTGGCGACCATTCAATGTGTCTCTCTCACATCGATGTTTCTCCTGCCCCCCCAATTCCAGTCTATATGCAAAAAAAAAAAAAAAGTCCTTGGGTGAGGATTAAAAAAGGAGAGAGAGCCCTGGCTGGTTTGGCTGAGCGGTTGGAGCGTCCACCTGCGGTACAGAGAGACCCGGGTTCGGTTCCCGCTAAGGGCACATACCTTGGTTGCAGTTTGTCCCCGGCCCTGGTTGGTCATGTGGGTGGCAGCCACTCGATGTGTCCCTTCACATCGATGTTTCTCTCTCTCTCTCTTCCTCTCTCTCCCTCCCGCTCTAGCTGAACAAAAAATGGAAAAATGTCCTCGGGTGAGGATAAAAAAAAAAAAAAGGAGAGAGAGAGAGAGAAAAACATCAACTGGCCACCTTCCACATGACCCTGACCAGGGCTGGAGATGAACAGCAACCCAGGTATGTGCCCTTGGCTGAAATTGACCTCATGACTCATTGGTCTGTGGGCTGACGCTCTAACGACTGAGCCAACCTGGTCAGGGCTAAAAACATTAAAAAAATAATAATAAAAATAAGAGCCAAGAGCCCTGGCCCAGTTGGTTCAGTGGTTACAGCGTCGGCCCGCAGACTAGAGAGTCCTTGGTTCAGTTCCCGCTAAGGGCACGTACCTGGGTTGCTGTGCACTTTGTCCCCGGCCACAGGTGGGGTCGTGTGGGTGGCAACCACTCAATGGTGTTTCTTGCACGTCTATGTTTCTCTCTTTCTTCCTCCCTCTCTCCCTCCCACTTTATCTGATGATAAATGCAAAAAAAAAAAAAAATGTCCTTGGGGAAGAATAAATAAATAAATAAATAAATAAATAAATAAATAAATAAAAAAGAGCCAAGATAGAAAGCCTGCCAAGTGCCAGGCAGAGCTGTGCACAGCCATATTGGCGTCTAAGGCAAGAAGAAAAATGTGTGTCCCTATAGACATGTTTTTATGTATATTTTAAATTAAACTTATAATACAGGGAGATCCTGTGACCCAGTTTCCTCCAGTGGGAACAATATCACAACCAGGATTTTGATACAGAATATTTCTGTCACCACAAGGATCCCTCATGTTACACTTTTATAGCCACACATACTAACCTCCTGCCCCTACCCCGTCTTTAACCTATGGCAACCACAAATATGTTTACCAACTTTTTAATTTTGTCAGTTCAAGACTATTAAATAAATGAAATAATATAGTCTATAACATTTTGAGATTGACTTTTTCTTGCAGAATAATTTTCTGGAGATTCATCCAGGTATTGCATGTATCAATAGGTGGTTCCTTTTTTTTTTTATCCTCACCCGAGGACACTTTTCCACTTTTTGTACAGACAGAGTGGGAGGGAGAGAGAGGAAGAGAGAGAGAGGGAAACATCGATGCGAAAGGGACACATCGAGTGGCTGCCACCCGCACGACCAACCAGGGCCGGGGACAAACTGCAACCAAGGTACATGCCCTTAGCGGGAACCGAACCGGGGTCTCTCCGGACCGCAGGTGGACGCTCTAACCGCTGAGCCAAACCGGCCAGGGCAGGTGGTTCCTTTTTATTCATGAGTAGTATTTATAATATGGCCATACTATAACTTGTTTAACCGTTTACCTGTTGAAGGACAGGGTGTTTCCAGTTTTGGCTAGTCAAAGCTGCTGTGAACATGCAACTTTTTATTTTTCTAGGATAAATACACAGTTGCTGGGCCATAAGATGATTGCATATTTAGCTTTTTTTGTTGTTTTTTTTTTAAACTGCCAAACTGTTTTCCAGAGTGGCTGTACCATTTTACATTAACATCAGTATAAATGTATGAGTGATTCAACTTCTCTGCATCCTCACCAGCATTTGATCTTGTGACTGTCTTTTATTTTAGCCATTCTGATAGGTGTATAGTGATATTTCATTGTGGTTTTAATTTGTATTCATCTTCTGGCTAATGCTATAGAATGTCTTTTCATGTTTCTATTTGCCATCTGTATATTCCCTTAGATGTAATGTCTATTTATGTCACCTGCCCATTTTCTAATTGGATTATTTGTGTGTGTTTTTTTGCTGTTGGGTTTCAGAAGTTTATTATATCTCCTAGATACTAGTCCTTTGTCAAATATGTCCTTTGTCAAATATGAGAAAATATTTGCAAATATTTTCTCCCAATCTGTAGCTTTTCTTCTCATTCTCTTAAAATGTCATTTGAAGGGCAAAAGTTTTGATTTTGATAATGTCCAGTTTATCAAAATTTTCTTTTGTTTATGCTTTTGATGTCAAGTCTAAGAACTATTTGACTACCACCAGATTGTGAAGACTTTCTCCTCTTTTTTCCTAAAATTGTATAGTATTATATTTTACAAGTGCGACCCATTTTTAGTTAATTTTTGTGTAAAGTGTGAGATTAAGACTGAGGTGGGTTTTTATTGCCTGTAGATATCTACTTGCTGCAGCAGCATTTTGTTGAAAAGGTGATTTTCCTCCATTGAGCTACTTCTGCACCTTTGTCAGAAATCAGCTGAGCATATTTGTGTGGGGCTATTTCTGGATTCTCTATTCTTTCCATTGATCTATCCTCTGCAATACCATGCAGACTTGATTATTGTAGTATATCATAAATCTTAAAATCAAGTAGACTGATTCTTCCTACATTATTTTTTCAATATTGTTTTAGGTCAGCGGTTCTCGTGTGTCACAACCCCTTTGGGGGTCAAAACCCTTTCACAGGGGTCGCCTAAGACATAACAGTAGCAACATTACCGTTATGAAGTAGCAACAAAAATAATCTTATGGTTGGGGGTCACCACAACATGAGGAACTGTATTAAAGGGTCATGGCATTAGGAAGGTTGAGAACCAGTTTTAGGTAGTCAAATTCTTTCGTCTTTCCATATAAATTTTAAAATCATCTTGTCTATATCTACAAATACTCTTGCTGGGATTTTTATAGGAATTGTGTTAAACCTGTATACCAATTTGGGGACAATTGACATTTTCACTATGTTGTCTTCAGATCTTTGCATGTAATATGTCTCTCCATTTGTGTAGACTTCCTTTGATTTATTTCATCAGCATTTTGTAGATTTTGGCAAACAAATCCTATACAAGTTTTAAGAGATTTACACCGAAGTGGTTCATTTTTTTTTAATGATTATAAATGATATTGTATTTTTAATTTCACTCTTCATGTGTTCATTGTTAGCATATAGAAACATAACTGATTGATTTGTGTATGTTTATCTTGTATCTTATGACTTTGCTGAACTCACTAGTTCTAGGAGTGTTTTTGGTAGATTCCTTGGGATTTTCTGGATAGACAATCATAACATCTACAAACAGGGGAAGTTTTATTTCTTCCTTTCTTATCTGTGTCTTTTAGTTCCTTTCTTGCCTTATTGCACTGACAAGAACTTGCTGCACAATGTTGAATAAGAGTAGTGACAGTGGACATCCTTGCCTTGTTCCTGATCTTAAGGGAAAATATTCCAGCCTTTCATCATTAAGTATGATGTTAGCTGTATGTTTCTGCAGATACTCTTTTTTTTTTTTTTTTTTTTATCCTCACCTGAGGATATTTTTCCATTTTTTGTACAGATAGAGTGGGAGGGAGAGAGAGGAAGAGAGAGAGAAAGAGAGACACATCGACGTGAAGGGACACATCGAGTGGCTGCCACCCGCAGGACCAACCAGGGCCGGGGACAAACTGCAACCGAAGTACGTGCCCTTAGCGGGAACTGAACCCAGGTCTCTCCGGACCTCAGGCCGACACTCTAACCGCTGAGCCAAACTGGCCAGGGCTCTACAGATACTCTTTTTTTTTTTTAATAAATTTTTTATTTATTTTTTTGTTATAGATATTTTACCTTTTTTACCCCATTGGCACCCCCCACCCCACCCCACCTCCGCCCCGTCCCCGGCTTAGTTGTCCATGTCCATTGGTCATGCATATAAGTTCTGTGGTTTATCTCTTTCCACCCCCCCACCACCCCCTACCCCCTCTTCTGAGGGATGTCAGTCTGTGCCCTACTTCCATGTTTCTGGGTCTACTGTGTTC